ACACAACTCTAAACTTAAGTTTAAAGTTTTTTAAAGAAGAAATAACAAGAATTCCACATACATTCCAAGAATAACATATATTCTTTCTTAAAAAACCTAAAGAAGACCTTGAAATAAACATTGTAAAGCCCAAAGGCACGGCAATTGATATAACAAGAATCAAGAGCTCAGCGATAATTTGCTGTAATGTGTTGCCTTTCATTAATCATACGCCCCGTAAGCAAATCAATTGAAATGGACTGTTTGAGCTTTTAGCAATTTACAATTGACTAATGGTTGCGTCATCGTGTACTGCCACATATAGAAGATAAGAATTCCTCTGCCCAGCTTCAGTGCGCAGCTGCCCCTGGCAATGCCATCGCCACCGCCACCGCCTCCGCCTCCCGTCCGAACAGTCCTTGTCAGCATTTGCCAGCGATTGCCGCCCATGCATTATGCTCTTACAGGACTGATTCGGGCTAAAGGACTCGTTTATCGCTTCGTTCGTGTTGTTGTTGTGCAATCATCAAACGGTTTAGCTGCAAAACTAATTGCATTACATCAATTTTTCTGTTAAAAGTCAATAACCAATCAAATACACACACACACACACACACACAAATACAGATGCAGGGCCAGACGCAACGCGGTTCAAAGTTTGCAAACGTGCAGTTAAATGCACACAGACACGCACACACATACACAACACACACACACATACATGAACAAGAATCAGCCAGCGGTCAATTTAATGGCAGAGCGATAGAGCGAGAAGGACACAGCCACATGACAGAGGGAAACAGAGACAGAGACAGGGAAAGCAACGCAATAATGACAGGAGTAATCACATTAGCCCCACATAAACTTTTGCGTAGCATGCTCTGATCTAAGGGTTGTCAAGTGGCCTTAATTGAATGAAATTCAATAAAAACTTGCCATCACTTAAATTCAAGTCCATAAAGTACGCCTATAAATTAACTCAAGTTTTAATATACAAATGCTCAAGTAATTGAAATTCAATCAAACATATTTCCACAGTCTTAATAAATTAAAATCAAGCTAATGCTTATTTGTAAGTTTTCAATTAGTCAAATGCCATTGAGAAAAATGATAAGATCAAACTAAAAGTAAATCAATTCAACAAATAATACTTCAAATTATTAAATGGACAAAGAGGTTGGGTTGAAGACTTATACATCTTCGTATATAGTATAAGAACTTAATAATAATTCGAACAATAATTAAATATATATTATTTATTGTTATAATTATATTTTTTTTATATAATTTTATTTGTATTTTTATATTTTACCCACAAAAATTTTACATGTTTAATTTATTGTATAACATTTATTGACCAAATTAATTAGCATATCATCTAAATTTACGGAAAGAAACAAATATGAGATATGTCATATATAATTTCAAATAGGGTTTTCGCGTAGTCCTTCGTTTCATCGAATGTTGCGTTATGCAGTCTATATTGAAGAGAAATTCATATGCCTTTTATTGTATGATGCGGCACAAACGACAACCCTGTCAATTATTTGAAGTCCGGCAGCGAACGACATGCACTTGCCACTCGCTACTTGCCACTTCCACCAGTGGACTTAGTCCCAACCCTTGTGCGTGTGAATGACGTGTTCATGCAGCCACTGTCAATGTGGTGCGTTTCAATTTCGCAGCCACATGACCCACACAAACACACACACACACATGCACAAACTGCCGCCAAAAGGTGGAAGGTGGAGGTAGAGCTGGGGGTCGGAGGTGGCGCCAAATGTTGACGGGTCGCGACGACCAGTTGGCCGGATCCACTCCGAACGTTAAATCGTTAATTGATTACGGCCAACATTGATTGTTGTTGTTGATGATTTTTTGTTTGCACTGGCTCCACTAGGGGTCGGGGCATTGTTTGGCTGGATTACGCTACCAGCACCCCGGCTGCTGCCTTTTATGGCAGCGTCAAGCGGCGACGACAGAGCATAAAAATCCATTTCTGTTTTTACAATGCTTGGAGGTCAGCTCTAATGAGCGTATAGCTCTGTACGAGTTTGAGACGGAGTTGTAGCACCAGCGGGAGTTTGAGATGACGGCGGAGTACAAGCACATCAACATGGACAGCCAACAAGGCAGCCATTTTAAAACTAATTGCTAAGCAAAGGGCATGCCAGCCAGAGTAGCACCCAGATCACGTACGCATCAACAACAAACGCACCACCGCAAATACAGACAATCTGGCCAAAATAAGTAAAGTATAACCAACAGGCACAAGAAATTCTGAGCGGAGCGGTGCAAACAAGCCAAAGGCCATGAGCAACAAAGCCCCACTCAGTGCTCATCCATTGAACCCAGAGAGGAGCGGTTCATGGCCAGCCAAACTGTGCTCCAAATGGAATACGAAGTGGAAGCTCAACGCTGCTGGCTGTGTAACTGATATTACAGTTAAGGCGGTAACAAGTCAGCACCACCCAGAAAAAGCGACGCATCGGACGCGGCCACTCAAAAATGTTCTCCAACAAAAGCCAAAAGGGCTGCCAGCTGAATTGAATTTAGACAAAGCTAAAATACATGGAACGGCGGCTGCGGCCAAGTATGAGTTAAAACCAGACCAACAGCACGCCGAACCATGTATACCCTAAAAAGGGCTCGAACGTACAGCTGATTGCAAATAATGGATGGATTTCGGCAAAAAAAGTTCGTATCTTGGGTTTTTAAAGATGCAACCAACAATAAATATTGTTTCCCCAAGTAAAGCATACATAAATTGAAAATTAAAATTGTGTGAGTTACCAAGTTTATCACTAGTCAAACACCGCTGTTTTGTCAGAGGCATGGAAAGGTATGCCCAATGCCTGACAAGCATTTAAAGCAGCAATTATTTACTTGATGCCGAATGCCAAATGACAACAACAGCAGCAGCTGACGCATGAGTTAGAGGAACAGACCCGAAGGAAACTAGCCCGTTGAACGAATCCGAGAATTGCGCTCTCTTCGTGGTTTGTGGAACTGCCAGCACCAAATATACAATTTGATTAGTTTAGAAAGGCCAGTGAAAACTTACAATAGTATCAGCAAATGGAAGCAAATGGAGGCGCACTTTGACTTAATTAATGCACAGCAGGAGCAGGAGCCCGAATCCAGGCAAACAAGTTGCTGCGAGCACAAAACATGGTGGCAACTACTCAAGGCCAGGTCATAGGCAACATTGTATGTACGTCTGTGCATGTGTGTGTGTGTGTGTGTGAGTGTGTTTTAGAACACGTGTAGAGCAAGTTTTTAGCAAATCGAATAGAGCTTCGCTCTGCCTAGCTATCCCCCAGGCGCCTTAGCTAGGCGGCTGCCTGCCCGCGGCGCAGTGCTTGTTATTTTAATTTCCGCCTAAAAGTATGCAACAAATTGAAAGGATTACACAAAGTTTATGCAATGCAGCAGTCACCAAGCGTGGCGGCAACTTAAAACGACAAGACAAATGCGACAATTTAAGCGCGTTTTGCCCCGTTGGCGCTGCCTCTGGCTCTGGCGCTGGCTCCCTGGCACGCAGCAACAAACTCGCGCAAATTGTTAGTGTTGCAGCAACAGCAACAGCAACGACAACAACAACCAAGTTATCCAACAACCAATCCCATAGCGGGATTTGCACGACTAGCAGATACCCTATGCCCAGCACTGAGCAGCCATTCTTGCTAAACTTCACGACACGAAGGGCCGGTTTGCTGGCATTTGCGCAAGCTGCCGATGGCTTGAAATAACTTTGATCTGTGCATGAAATGAGAATTAATACGTTATAGTTCTTATAGCCATCAAGCTCTACTTTCCCGGAGTTTGGAGTCTCTAGAGTGTAACAAAAACAATATGCTCTTTGAGTACAGAGTACAACTGGTGCACAACAGCACACACACTGCATAGCATAAAATTAATGTCAAGCAAAATGGAGAAACAGCAGACGCCAGCAGCAGGCAGTCGCCATCAATGCCCGCTTCAGTTGCAGCTGCAGCTCTAGAGGCAGCATCAAAACCAGACCCAGTACCAGAAGCAGAACCAACGCCAACGCCAACTCCAGCTCCAACTCCAACTCCATGTTGAGCTCTGACTATATTGGACGCTTCTGTAACAGCGACAGCCAAAAACTGCGCCAAAATGATGTGGGCCGTCGCTTGCTTGTTGTGGGCGTTAGTTGCAGTTGCAACTTTTGTTGCATATTCAGCAGCAACAGCAACGGCAACGGCAGCAATTTGCTTCTTAAAAATAAACTTGGCAACGGCAGGCTTTGAGGCGCGCTTATATGATCGCATTTTGTGGCAAGTCAGCATGCATAAAAACTGTGTCGATGTTGGCAAATTGTGCGTTGCACAGCATAAAATATCGCTGGCATGCAACACACGCTGTGGCGCCACGCAGACAACAACTTAATTGACATGGCATAGGTCAAATCAATGCTACGTACACGCATTTCAATATGCGAGCTTCTGAGTGTGAATGTGAATACGAATGCGAATGCGAATGCTCATTTGCTGGAATAGATAACACAGAAGCCACCATTAAGGGCTTTACCTACTTGCAAATTGCGTCAACTGGCAGGTGGCAGGTGGCAGGTTGTAGGTGGCAGGTGACAAGCAGCAAGTGGCAGCTTTGCTCTGCCTCTCCTGTGCCTTGACGCATAAACCGCTCTAATGAATGCATATTGTGCAGCCTGTCTCCATATTGCAAATGAGGCTTTGTTCTCTCGGTCCTTTTGGGGCCTGCCTTGGCCTCCCTCGTTCCCTCGCCAGAAAATTGGTGAGAAATCGATGCAACAACTCACAAAAGTTCAAAGCTCTTGTCATTTCTGGCACGTCGCACCGAAATTAAAGACGAAATGCGGTTGGGCTGGGTATGAACCCTTTTTTTTTGAATACTCGCACCGGAACTGACCCCGGCACGGTCGCATTTTCAGTTTGAAAAGCACTTAAGCTGTACTTTGCATGTTTTTCGAGTAAGCATCTTAACTTTAAGTGTGTTTGTGCATTTGTGTGTGGATGTGGGTTCTTTGTGCTTGCCGCTTATTTAATGAGTCATGTGCTTCAATTTAATTCATAAATACTTAATTATAACTCTGCTGCCCGGGGCAACCGTTCAGCGTACCTGCGGGCCCCAACTTATCAACTCGAACGCGATTTGTATGATTTCATCCACATTGATGTGCTTTTTGCTTAGCTTGTTCAGCGGCGTCTGCAGGTCCTTTGCGTGCTGCAAGGCGATTTATAAAAAAAATTTAATTTAAATTCTTACAAGTATTTTTCCGCCACACTCACCCGAGCCGTGTTCACCAGCTCCCTGAACTCCCTATCTCGCAGTGCCTTATAGAATTTGGCAAAGTCTCCGCCCTCACGCACCTTGCGCACCATCAAGCCGTAGAACTGAGCACGCGGCAGACTTTGGAGTGCCTCATGCAGAAATGTGGTCAAGTCGCGGCGCAGCATCATATCCACGGGCACTACACGCGACAGCTGAAAGGCACGCAGGCGATTGGGCAGCTTGTCCACCACGCTGCTCACATCGTAGCCGGAGCCGGACTCCGTGACGTAATCGATCAGATCGGCAAAGTCCGGCGCCATGCGCATTTGCCGCCACGTCTTTGCAAAATCGTCGCTGCGCAGAAACTCCACGGCCTGCCGAAATTTCGGATCGAAGATATAGTATCGCGCCGCTATATGACCAATGCGACGGCGCGGCACCAGCGCCATAAAATCACGCAGATCAGCGCGAAGATCAGCGGCTGCCAAGCAGCTCAAAATGCTGAGCACCAGCCCAATAAGCACTGTACTGAACTTAGCCATGGCGAGCATTAGACGTCGTCTGTCTTGGCCGAATTTGGGCAGCAGTTTTATAGATGCGGCGCAACCAACTATGAGACAATATTTGGCTTTGTCTGCGGCGGGGGAGGTGCTAATTGATTGCTTGGCAAGATGTGTACCTATTTAAACGATTTATTGAATCGTAAACAGTCAATTAGCTGCCGCTTTTACTTTCACCCGTCGCATTGTTTACTGGACAGCAAGCACAGTATTTCAAAAACGAGAAAGACATGCACATATTGGCAGACCCACCCTTTAATACCCTTGCAAGCCATATTAAACAGAACGGAGTCTTTCATATATATGCAGTTATAAGGATTCTGGGATTTTATTTATTTAATACTTAGCTCGTTATTTTCCTTGACCTCTCGTAATTTGCGTAGTAAAAATATTTTTGTTTCGACTAAAACTAAAACTAAATTCATGCTGTGCAAATGCCAGATTTATTGACGTATTTATGATACCCTCTGTAAGGGTAGAAAAAACTATTTACAAGCACAACGGCCACATACGAAATGTGGCTTATTGAACTTGCAGCTGCCAGCATAGAACAAAAGACTTCAACTGCATTTCGACCATGCCTCTTTGCAAGGTTTGTGGCTCAGGCACACATGCACAGCCACACCCACGTATTCACTTGTAATAAACATTAACAATCAGCTTGCAAGCTAAACAACAATAAATCAAGTGTAAATTCTTTTGTCTGCTCGTCTGACTGTAATTGCTCCCATTTGTGCATTAAAAATCATGATTGATTTCAGCCCAGGCAGACGCACAATAAGCTCTCCTCCGGCCGTCTGCAATGTGAGCCAAAATTAGAATTCAATTGGGTGATTTATGCAACTAGCAAATTTACGAGTCGCCAGAGATTTTCCACTTTCCAAATGCTGCACTCACTCTCTATCCGCTGCCAACATTTACTTTGTTATTTCGCCGCACATTAAAGTCGCCAAAAACTTTTGTACAGACACAAAACCACATCAAGTTATCCACAGTCACATCTATATCCACGCCCAAATCCACGTCCACGCCTTCGGTTGGCATCAACACTAATGCTTATCTAAATTTCTGTTAATGAAATCTACTGATAGGTCAAAGCCTTTTGCTTTTTCCATCGTCTGACTTCCGGCATTTGGGTCAAAAAGCGGTAAAACAATGAGAGAACTTGATATAAAAATTAACAGGGGCGGACTTAAAGGACGCCCCAAATGAGGCCCAAATATAATGGAAAGTTTGTTTTTTGTTTTTAAATTAAACAATTAGCTGTGGAAAATATTAATAACAAAAATAATAAAATCCACTAGCAATGCAAAAAATAGAATTTTTGAACCCGAACTCCACAATACTTTTGGAACAATTCAGTTTCTTTCTCAAGTGTGCAAGAATGTGCAGGAATTGCTTTTTTGCTGAAACGCTCCTGCTTAAACGAATTAGTCTTCTGAAAAGGGTTGACGTGTAGTAAGCGGCTTCTACACACGCACACACTCCTGGCACATACACAAAAGGCAAAACAAATAAGCCATAAATTTGCATGCCAACAACAATTGGCAATTTTCCGTAGGTTAAAGCATAAACCAGCAAACAAACTGACTAACAAACAAACAAACAAACAAACAAATGAACGAACGAGCGAACGCAACGAACAAGCAGCACGGTCTCACAGCTCGGCAAAAGGTGAACTGAGCCAGCCCCTCCCCCTTATAGCCCCTACCCAAGCGAAACAGTCGTAAGTTTAAAGTGGGTATTGTGCGGCGGCGTTCAGTGAAAACGGAAATAGAAATGAAAGCTTTTCGTGGGCAAGTAGGCCGTTATCGCCGCACAGGTACGAACAACGCTGCGTATACGTAACGAATGTGGATATACATATATGCAACATGAGTGTGGGAGTGTACATGTGTTTGTGTATTTATATGTGTGTGTTGTCCGCAGCACAAATGAAGCTGAATTGTTGCGGTTCCCCAGGTGCGTGTGTGTGCGCGTGTGTGTCGCGTATCTGTGCGTAATAAGCTCAACATTGGTTGGCATTTTTTTTTTGTGCTCTCTCGCCAGCATTGGGCAGTTGTCGACTGTCCGCTGTAAATGTCCTTTGAAGTTTGTTTATGATTTTCGGATGTTGTGCTCGTAGCCATGGCAGTTGTTGCTGTTTCTCTTGTTGTTGTTGGACACAAAAAAGCGGCAATCGCATAAGCCGCGCTTAGATTTTGTTGTGCGTATTAGTGAGATTTATGCATTTAGGAAATTAAACATCCTGCATGGCAACTGACTCCACGTAAGTGCGGGGGCTAAGGTGTGTTGTTTATATTCGTATTAGTGTGGCTATGTGTGTGTGTGTGTGTGTGTGTAAGCAGTATGCTACAACTCTCTTGCCGTCGCCGTCACCAACGTTGCCGCCACCGCCGCCGCCGCCGCCGCCGCTGTCATTAATTTTAAATCATGCGTAAAATCGCGTAATGTCGCCAACACAGCCGCCAGCATCCTTTGGGGCCACACACGCCAACATATACTTTTTTTCTGGATATTTATATATATATACATATAAAAAATGGTTTCTCTGTGTTTTCATTTGCAGCTCTGTGTGTGAGTGTGTGTGTTGCATTACATGTTGTTTACTGTACGTGTGTTTGTTTTTTTTTTTTATTTGGCTCCACCGTCGCGGCGGCTGCTTGGCGGAAATGCGTTCGACCACATCAATCACGCGACATTGACAAATGTGCATATTTTTGTTGAAATTATATGGGCACAAGCGCAGCCTGCACACACATATATACTGTGTGCGTATGTGTGTGTGAGTGTGTGTGTGTGGCCAACCAGGCAACCAACCAGCCGGCCAACCAACCGGCCAAGTGGCTGTGCAAATTATTGGCTACAATAGTCCTTCAAATTGGGCAATTTATTGCTTTATTGCTTTTACGTGTTTCGTCTGCGGCTACGCTGCATTTTTTTGCAGTTCCGACATTTTCGCGCCAGCAAATTTCTCATTATGTCAGTTGTTGTTTTTGTTGTTTCTGATTTATATAATTGCAAATTTAATCATTCACATAAAAATTGCAACTTGTGTTAAGTTCGCTGCCATCCGTAAGTGCCATAATTGTCGCTGGAATTTTCAGCAAGTTGCCAGCTTGTCAATCGGCTTGTCAATAATTTGCATACACTTCAATTGAGAAGAACCGATTATCCGGTTTGTTATTAAAATAAAAGCAGTATTCCAACATTAAAGCTAAATAAATGTTAAAAATATATATGCAATTTTTATGGAATACAACCGTAAAATTCTACCTACAATGCATCTAAAATCCGAATATAAAACAAACAAATAAATTAAATATAACATATTAAATATGAAAATATAAAATATTGAAAGATAAAGAAATATAAATATAATTCAGCTTAGAAATAAAAAAGGGTATTAAAAAATTGCGCATACTGCTCCGTCGGACGTCTAACACGCGACATCGGAACATAAAACATAATATATTCAAGTGTTGTGGTTTGCTTTGGCACCTAGCATGAAAAGCTGTTGAAATTATGTTTTAATCAAAGTTCACTAAATTGAAACTTCAAAAAGCCCATTTGGCCAAATTGTTAAACTCATGTAGTCAGTTTCTCGGTTTAAGTTAAACGTAGCGCACTGGATTTTTTTTTATATAAAACAGAATATTATTTATACAAGAAAGTTTTTTTCCCCTTTCGATATATTTGTAAATTGAAGTGCAAGTGATTATTTCTTATACTATTTTTTTTTTCTAAGTTCAGAGCGCGTTCTAAATCAATAATTATGGCTAGATCTCAAGCGACATGTTATAGCAAATCATTTTTGGGACTGCTTCGTTACAACCGCGTCATTTCTTTTGTACCCAGAGCGCATTGCATGCAAGTGCGCACTAAGTGCGAGTTAAATGGCATTGTCATTGGACTGTATCTCAAGGAAGGCGAAAAGGACCCCCAATTGACGCCGAACGGCGAAAAGTTCGATGACCGCGTTGGCGGCAAGATCAGCGAGTTAGTCAGAGAGACACACATGATAGGAGAGTTGGGCGAGGGCCGAATGTTTAATAATGTAGACAAAGAATTCTCGGCTGTGGCCGTTATTGGCTTGGGACAGGAAGGTGTCGGCTATGATGCTGAGGAGGTACTCGATGTGGGCATGGAAAACGCAAGAGTTGCCGCCGCCGTTGGCGCAAGATTTCTGCAATATCAGGGCGCACAAACCGTGTTCGTCGACGGCATGGAGTACCCGGAGCAAGCGGCTGAGGGTGCTGCCATGGCCGTCTGGCGCTACAATGTGAACAAACGAAAGAATAACCGCATGCATATACCCAAGCTTGAGTTGTACGGCTCGGCGGATGTAGATGCCTGGACACGCGGCCTCTTCAAGGCCGAGTCTCAAAATTTGGCGAGGCGTCTCTCCGACACGCCGGCCAACCAGATGACGCCTTCCATTTTCGCACAGGCCACCATCGATTCGCTGTGCCCATGCGGGGTTACCGTCGAGGTCCGCTCTATGGATTGGATCGAGGCGCAGGGTCTCAATTCGTTTCTGATGGTGGCCAAGGGCTCGTGTGAGCCACCCATTGTGCTGGAGATCCATTACTGTGGCAGCTCACCCGAGGATCGGCCCTTGCTCTTGCTTGGCAAGGGATTAACCTTCAACAGCGGAGGTCTCTGCCTGAAAAGCAAACAAGGCCTGCACGAACATCGTGCCGCCGTCAGCGGAGCAGCCTCTGTTGTGGCTGCAATTCGAGCTGCCGCAGCATTATCCCTGCCCCTCAATGTTTCGGCCTTGTTGCCGCTTTGCGAGAACATGCCCTCAGGCATGGCGGCTAAGCCTGGTGATGTGATCACCCTGATGAACGGAAAGACTTTGTGCATTAAGAACACCTCTAGTGCCGGCGCTGTAATGCTTGCCGATCCGATGCTCTATGCGCAAAATACAATGAAGCCCAAGCTACTCGTAGACCTCGGCACATACGCCAGAGGTGTTAGGTACGGGCTGGGTGCCTCTTCGACAGGTTTGTGGACAAACAACAGCACCCTATGGAAGCAGTTCAAGAAGGCGGGCTCAATTACTGGCGATCGTGTTTGGCGCATGCCGCTTTGGAAATACTTCAAGCACCTAATTGAACCCAATATGACTTATGACATGTGCAACGAGGGCCGAGGACCCGCCTCCTCGTGCCTAACGGCGGCATTGCTGTACCAGCTGGTACCCTGCCTGGACTGGGTGCATCTAGACACCCGAGGAACAGGCATGCTGGCAAAACATGGCGTGCCGCCCTATCTGCTGCGGGATCGCATGACTGGACGCCCTACTCGTACGATCATCCAGTTCATGCACCAGCTGGCATGCAAATAATTTTGGACTAAAATATCACGTCAGATATGAACCTTTCGCTGATATGTGTTT